TGGTTCAGTAACTATTATACTACATTAATTTATCCATTATTTTTCATTCATATATGTGTTTTTTTTGTCAAATAATCTAAAGAAAACACCATTGTTAATCAGCTTGTTTAATTTGCAAAGGATTGATAGATTCGGAGGAGGATTAAAATCTATATATTAATGTTATTTTATGTTTATTTTTGCTTCCTTGACCACAAACAAACTTTTATGTATATAAAATACAGATATTGCCAAAAGTACAGGAATTCGTAACGGTAGACTTTTTAATGAGTTTGATTAAATTATATGTTAATGGTCTAAAAATAGATATCGAAGACGAAAATAGCTTTTGTTTTTCAGCCACGTCTAAAACCGTTTTATGTAAACCCATTATGATCAACAACAAGCCTACCACTAAACATAACGCTTTTTTAACTTGTCTTTTCTAAATAAATTAAGCTTTAACGTGTGGTTCAGGGTTCACAAAGCTTTTTCTGAAACGACAGTTACAAACTTCTCCGTTAGAGTAGTGACTTTCAAAGGAAAGAATTACTAATTTAACAGCTATTGGGTGTTACTTCTCGCGCAATATTATTCTATATAACACATCACAATGCAACATTATGGTTTGATAGATCGACGATAATTGTGGAATCGATTAAAAAAACCAATAAGAGGAATAGGGATGGGTCCATTACATGACACGTGAAGTAAACGACAGCATGGGATGGATTCTTTGCTAATTCCTGTAAATATCATTATTCCTTTTCCTTAAAAATGTTCTGAGTTTTTAACAAAAAAAAATGTCCTGAGTTGAAATATTGAGTTAATATATCACTCTTATTCACTCGGAAGTTCATCGATCCATTATTTCTTTGCTTTCTTGAATAATTCTGTTGCTTTTCTTAAGAGATTTTTGTTTACTTCCTTTATTAATCCAATTGAATCCTTGCGTATAATAATTAAAGAATATACTATTAGATTTGAACTTGAAAACTTGTATAAATATATTAAAAATGAAAAGAAAACTAGCTTTACAAAAACCGATTAAAAAAAACTAAACTAACTAGTTAGAGTTGGGCAAAATATTCATAATTAGTGATTTGATTTAAAATCCAATTCGATACAAAAATAAGATACTTAAAATCTCTAAACCTCAACTAGATAATTAGATTTATAAATCTATAAATATTAATGGATCAGATCCGAATATTTTGAAATTTCAGGATATCATATCCATTCCCATCTCTATAAAAAATACATGTTCATTTTGTTTATTACCTACTGGTTTTGAAATGAGAACTTAATATTGCATTTTGTTCATTAATTTGGTTACAAATTTCACACACATCACAAATAAGTAACTATTTTCGTGTGTGGAGAATAAGAGAGGATTGTCATATTGAATTTCGAATTATTGTAAAAACTATAAAATGCTGGTTATGTAATTTTGAACATCAACTATGGTAGTTAGCGAACTAATAATAAACCTTTGGTTTTTTATTTTGGTTTTTTTTTTCATTCAAATCCACAACTAAAAGAGATTCTAGCTAGGTACGTAAATCTTGCATCATTAATTATTCTTTTTTTCCTAAAACATGGATGCACATAAGTGGCTTTAAATCCACATAAAAATGTGGGAAACTCGGTGTGTAATCAGGTGAACGCAGGACCACCTTAGTTCTTACGTCACATGCTCCCCCATTTCTTATCTAATGCCAATGACAGGCTGAAACATGTGTTGGTCATGTGAGTGGGAAACAGATTAATTTCATATGATTATCTCTAGAAAGTCAACGACTCGAGTTGGATCGTCAAGTCCTTTGTCACTCTTGTTGGTCATAAACTCTTTCGTAATTCCTCACTGCTAGCTTCCTCTCTTTTGTTGATTTTGATATGTTTGCTTCCAACTATAGACACGTAGCTAAGCTAAGTAATCCTCTCCATTATAGTCCCAATCACTGCTTTAAATGTTAAATTTTTCTTCAAATGTGTAAAACTTTATTTAAACATAAACCGTGATTAGTTAATATATACCATCAATTTTAAGTAAGATATTTAACTTGTTCGTAAACTACAATATTTATACAAATCATATATCTATCCATCTTAATTTTCCTTTAATTTATCGGGTTCTTTGTCTCGCGCACTAACTATCATAATTTCATCCAATCAACTTGCATCCATTAAGAATATATAAGCAATAAATTTGCTTAGTTAAGTATGATCATTGTATTACTAGCTACACCAACATAATCAGTTCATAAAAATAAAAAACATAATCAGTTCATACATTTATCCTAATCATCGGTCCATTTATGCATTATTCATTCTCTTAATTCAGATTCTAATCGATCGATTGATGTATTTGATCATCTTATGTTCATAGATAGTTTACATGATTTCCGTTTAGTTTAGATTTGATTTTGTTTGGTCCAAGTTATGTATTTCTCATGCATTAATCAGAAAAATTTGTTGGATTCGGTTTTATAGTCTTGAGAACTACTTAGAACCCTGAAAATTTTGGTGTCACATAAAATCCGAGTTTGCAATTTGCATCTTAAATCAGTAGAAGCTGCCATATCATTTGACCTAAATTCAGACGTTCACCAGTATTTTTTTTTTATAAATCTATTTTATAAATGAAAAAAATAATAAGTCAATATGGTTTGTGTGATCGTAGCACGTGTGGCTAATGTATGTCACGTGACAAAATTCTGTAGGGTGGACATCAAAAGAGTGGTGAAGGTGGACAATAGACAAATGGCAGAAAAGATAATCCAATCCAACGCTCTTATATAAAAGTTGAAGCAAAAAGGCACTCTTATTACCAGACATGACTACATTAGTTCCCACTATAATCATAACTAACATTCACTGCTACACTAATGATAATTACTACAGTACATAAACTATTCAAGGTGTACTAATAAGTAATAACAGTATTTTGCTATATCATTTTCACGACTGAAATGAAAAGGTAACATATTTATTTTTGTTTTTGAACTTTATAACATATAATATTCTAAACAAAGTTTTCTTTTGTTCATTCAAAAGTTTAAAAGAAAAGGCGGTTAATGGGAAGAAAGAAATAATTAAGATCACAAATAATTCACACACAAAATTAGTCTTTTCTCATCAAGGGGTCGGAATCAAAAAAAAAACTTGGACAATATTGAAGCATGACCCTTTTGTTTTATAAAGGGAAGGTATAGTACCAATAATATTCCATTTGATATTCATTTTGCAACAAACTATCGAGAATATAACCCTTTACGAGCACAAAAGGTTTATCATCTATGATTACCAAAAAGAATATGGCTTCATTACATGTATTTTATAAGTTTTTTTTTTCTTTTTCAAAAAAAAAAGACGAGAGAGAAAAAGAAGGATATATGCTTCTAGAAAGAAAACAAGGAATCAAACCCGAACATCACTATATTCACTCCCAAAGTTACACATTTTTTCACTTTTCCTTTTCTGTTTTTTCTGCTTTTTCAAAGTAAAAAGAGAGGGGTAAATTATAATATTGATGAGCTCGTTTAAACTTTTACCTTACGTCCCAAACTAATTATGGGAATTAGATATGCAATTTCAATTGCAGGGTGACCACCAAAGTGATTTGATTCTGTTTTGTGTGCTGCCTAGTAGGGAATATAGAGATACCAAAACGGCAAAACTACAATTATACTAAATACGCAAACATTTACGTTACAAACAATTACGATCTAATTAACGACTCGAGAAGTTGTAATTTCAAATGCTTATGTAAAACCAAATTAGATGAGAAGACACTGACAGTGACTATCTAATTATATCGAAATTTTCTATAAATTTATGAAAAAAACTTTAAACATAAATTTCTCGAAACTATTTGACAGAGATAAAGGATTGTCTTTCGTATAAATTATTTTTTTCCATCACTCGTATTGTAATAAGGTACGTGGAAAAAGAATGTCTTGGTCTGTTATATATATAAAATACTAGAAGTTAGAATTTTGAATAAACAAGACGTAATGTTAGAGACATGAAAAAATATGTGGTTTTAATTTGGCAACGAGGTTAAATGATCAAATGATAAGACGTAAATAAAGGAAATATATAAAGATGAAATCTTATGATTTTTGGACCACACCCACTATAATGTTTTTTTTCTTTTCATATTTGATGTATCATCTTTCTATTTTTTTTTCTTTGAAGAAAAGACATCAAAAGGGAATGAAATGAGAGAGATGTTTGGTTAATGGATACATTGCCTTTCGATGTTCTTTCAAAAAGAGGGTTTTGGTTCTAATAGTTTGGTTTATGTCTAAAAGGAAAAACAAAGCCAAAGAGAGAGTTTTGGGTGATGATCCAATTCCAAACTCATTCCATGAATCAATTTGGCTGTCTCTATTAGAAGAATTCTCTGATATCTCTTTCTCCTTTCGGTAGAGGTGATGGATGATGGAGAGAACCCAACTAAAGGTTTTGGTCCTTACAAAGAGGGGCCATTAGAGAGAAAGAGAGATAAGAATAAAATGATGTGATTGTCATTATCAATTGGTATTTGATTGTGAAATCTTTCATGACCATGTTTCAATTTTTATGGGTTTGGTTGGTTTCAAAGGAGAACGAGCCAAGGATCGTTTCGGAAACGTTGGCCCCTCTTTCCATTTTGTTTTCTTATGGGGTTGGGCAAGGGACAACGATATAAGATCAACCTCATGTAACTTTTTTTTGTTTGTGTTATGATTATGTCATGTATATTATTCAAGACCCTTTTTAAAAAAAAAAAAAATCATTTTCAACTCGTAAAATCGATTTTACTATAACAATTTTTTATCGTATGTATATAAATTAGAGAGCACATAATTTTAAAAATGATTTTCTAACACATCAAAGTGTCTCTAAACTATGATTTATTGCACTGGCTCTCTATAGTCACACTATGTTGCACTGGCACGTGAAGATGTTGTGATGGACTAACCGGATCCGGTCTAGACTATATGAGGCTTGTGTATTTGATTACAAAATACACAAACAGAATGAAAACTTTTTTTTTCTTTTCCAAAATATACCCCAGGCTTTTGAGTTTTTGACTAATTATTTACAAATTACAACACATATGATGTGCATGAACGTTTTCAAAGTTTTTTTTTTTACTAGCTCATAAAGAAGCATAGGGATACAAAACCGGCCTCTCAGTGCAAAAACAAATCAAGTTGAAAGAGTTAAATTTGTAAATAATAAATATATGATTGGTTTAGTAAACAAAAACTCCACAATGCTCATTTCTTTTAACCCTTCCATAGCTTTAAAACTCTGTCTTTACCACCCGAGACTACTTTCTCACCATCTGGACTCCAATCCACAGCGAAAACCTTTATACAAAAGGGTAAGCAAAAATCAAGAGAGGAAAAAAATTGAAAAAATTCTATTGAAAAGTTAAGTTTTAAAGGTGTTAATACCTCATCTGCATGACCAGGAAGATCTTGTTTCAATGTTTTCGTCCTAATTTCCCATATCTGTGGGAAGTAAACAAACTTTCTGATTCAGAATCTGAGAAGTAAAGAGTAGCAATGGCATTTCATAGATAGATAAGAGCAAGTTCTTACCTTGAGAGTAGAGTCTTTACTGCCACTCAAAAGCATTCTACTGTCTGCAGACCAGCTGACCTGATACACAGGTCCAACATGTCCCCGGAAAGCTGTGACGAACTGTCCTGTGATACCGTTCCATAACCTAACAGATCTATCGAAGGAAGCACTTGCAATCCATTTCCCATCAGGTGAGAAGTAGACATGATTTACAAGCTGTTGATAGACCAACATCAAAGGTAAAAGAATCAGAAACGGAACTAAAAAGAGTAGGTGAAGAGAGTGAAACTGTAAAGTAACGTTACCTGTTGATGACCGGTCAAGCGCTTTTTAGGTTGTTTGCTAACAGATGGTTCCCAAAGGAACATAGTGAAATCATCAGAACCTGACACTAATCTTTCAGGGGAATCCCCTTTTGTTTTGTTGTATCTTTCAAGCGCCTGTAACAAAAGAAGCCAAGCAAATTTTCCAAAGAGAGAGAGATCAGAATCAGGGTATAAGGGATAAACTGATATGAAGTGTGGAGTGGAGTGAGAAGCTTCACCTTTTTCATTTCTTCATTTTGAGGATACTGTCTTCCAGTGTGGTCAAAAGCTCCTGTTCGAAGAACGTATTCTGTGCTCAATGCAAGGGAGTTAACCCAATGCCCATGCCCCTATAGTAACACAAGATTCAGAGTTAAATTGATAGTAGGTGAATATGAACAAGCTACGGGTCAAAAGATGCAGAACATAAGTAAAACACATAAGCCATTTATAACAAAATCGGACTGGAAACACATTGGCACTGTTTCTACAGATAGTATGCAAAAGATGAATGCATCTGATACTAATTCAGAAGAAAAATGACCATGAAAACTTCCAGATATAGCTAGAAGTTTACCTTCAATTCACGAATGAGCTTCCCCTGAGTAGTCTCCCACATCTTTATCGTACAATCTTGGGAACTGCCAAACACAAGACAGAGATATTTGAATAGAATCCAAGAGAAGAAGATAGGATTATGTATCTGAAAAGTGATCATGGGGCTTAGACATGTGCCGAGTGATTATCTAGATAAAGAGGCTGCAAATTAAGTTTCTTTCATTATTTGGTTATCAGATCGAGATTCAGCCATTACCAACACCTAAATCATCTAAAGCTATTAACTATAAAACTACATTGAACTGTCTTCCAATACACATTAGACGCATATTAGAAACATACCCTGTGTAAATAATCCCATCTCCTCCCCATTTGACACAAGTAACAGCGAGTGTGTGTCCACTGAGACAAATCAAAGATTTCTTCAGTGTAACATCCCAAATCCTTGCATCCCCATCTTTGCTAGAAGTTACAAATCGACGGCATGGAGAGCTAAGGTGGACTGGTTCCCATGAGATACCAGTAATCCATTTCTTGTGACCCTAAGAACAAAAAAAATGTAAAGATCAACAAACCAAAACCATATGTACATTTCAGAAGATAACCAAACATCAAGTAAAAAAAAAGAAAAGACTTTACCGTAAGTGGACTGCCATCAAGTTCTCCTTTCTTTGTATTCCAACAACAGATTTCACCGCTTTTACTACCACTCACGAGATGCTTACCATCAGGAGACCAAGCAACTGAGAGAACCCAATTCCTATGTCCTGAAAAAAGATTATATGTTATTATCATCAAGATGGTAACAATTACTACGCTTCTATGGAAACGATGGTGAGGAAAAAGTTATAACCTTTGCAAGTAAACAATGGAGTTTCAGTGTTGAGATCCCAAAGCCTGACAGTAGTATCACCTGAACCACTTGCTAACTGCTTACCATCAGGACTAAACGAGACACAAAGAACAGCTTCCGCGTGACCTTAAAGATTTTAAAAAAACAACAAACCAAGTAAGCAATTTGACACATTGATAAACTTCTTAACTTAGAACAATTCTGAAAGGTAGAAAAAAAAAACAGAACATGTACCAGCAATTGTTTGTGAGCAACGATTAACTGGACGAATTCGAAAGACAGCTTGTTGTTGATAAACAATCTTCAAAACGTTCTCCACAGACACTGAAAACACACAATTTTTATGCAGTAACATAATTGATTAGAACTTGATACATAGAGAGCTGTAAGTCAAATGAAAACTGGTTTGTGAGTGTTTTTAGTTTTACCATTGTTTTTCTCCAAGTAAGTTCCTACAGGTACAAGAAGCTCTTCGTCTGATACATAGAAACTGTAAGGTAACTTCTCCTCCTGGATAAATTAACAAATACCCCAAAGTTTCAAATTCGTTTTCATCATTTTGATACTTAAACAGAAAAATTAAGTTATCAAAATTAGCATAAAAAAAAAAACGCTTAAAACAGAGGCGCCAGAGCTCTCTGTATATCCTTAAAAATTACAGCTTTCAATGAATTTAGATTCGAAAGAAGAGATTGTTACGTTGTTGAGGAAGTTATTGACGAGCTGAGTAAGCTGCAAAGGACCAGCACTCTGAGGAATATACATGGCAGAGCCCAAATGAGTTCCTTCTGGGTCTGTTAACAGACACATCACCGTGTTCCCCATACCAGCCTCGTTCGTCGCCATGGTCATCGCGACGAAGAAGGAGTGAGTTTAGCGGAGGAAACTCTGACTTCGTGTTGCCGTTCTATTTAGAAGAGGGAAGAAGGAGACAATTTAGGTGTGTTTTTTCTTTTAGGGTTTTGAGCTAAAAACCTCGAAATTACATCTTTTATTAAAAAAAAAATATATGGACATTGCACATTGTATCGCCTTCTGTGGGGATCGAACCCACGACCACGTGATTAAAAGTCACGCGCTCTACCGCTGAGCTAAGAAGGCATTTGATTATTATATTAAGGTATATTTGCTTAAGATTTAAAATTGTATTTACCGTTATTATAACATCTATGAAGAGATTATCATAATAATTCTAGTGAAGTCCATACACGAAATCTTTGGCATTCGGATTCGAAAACAACGATCTGGTTACTACTGTATTAAATTGGTAATACAAACGATCCAATTCAATATTTATCATATGATACTTTTTCACATTATGAATTTGGAGAAAAAATAGTTTTTCATGATTCATTTTTAACTTGCACCGTTTATCTTTATGTAGTAGTGTAACGCGGAGATCGTTTTAGTTAAACCACCTGCAATAACCGGCTTCTCCTAAACCGGTCAAAATTGTTGGTATGGACAAGAGTTGAGCTGAGTTCATCATATGCCAACAAGTCTTTTCTTGCTTCACCTGTGACAGACTTTCAACAATTCCAAATTTTTGACAAGAAAACTGCATCTAATTTAACAAATGGCTTATGTCAATGTATCGTTGATACAACCATATCAATATGTTCTTTCATTTAGGAGACAAGTGACAACTTCTGAAAAAAGATTCACAACTCAAGAACGGCTGAGATAATTCTCGTAAACGAGTTGTGCAGCTAAGAGATCCACAGTACCCGAACCAACAGACTTAAAAACCGTTATTTCCGTTGAACTCTTTCTCCCCGCTTTGTCTCCTTTTATCAACTCAACCAAATTCCCACAGATCTCTTCTCTCTTGATCACTCCTCTCTCAAACGCTCCCACGAGCTCTCCAGCTTCTTCCATCGCGATATCGTTATCCACAAACACACTCCCTCTCTGTATCGCCTCGTCGTCACATTCCTTCATCGCATGGCTGAACGAACCAACAAGGTCAAGATGAGTTCCGGGTTTCAAGAACTCGCCTTTGACCAACGGAACAGTTGAGTTTGTCGCACAGCTTATGATATCTCCAAGAGGAACGATTTCATCTAACGAATCGTGGCTCTCGAATGTGATCTCGGTGTGCTGAGGATCCTTAGAGAGAGTTTCAGCTAAAACCTGAGCCTTTTGAGGAGTTCTGTTCCATATGATCACTCTTCTCAAGCTTGGTTTCGCAGCTAGGTGGGATTTAATCAGGTGTGGCGCGAGAGCACCGGAACCAACCATGATCAGCACCTGACTATCGTCTCTAGCTAGGATTTTGGAGCCTAAGCCTGAAACAGAGGAAGTACGGTAAAGGGTAAGAACGGTACCGTCCATTGAAGCTAGGGTTTGTCCTGTGGTGGAGCTGAAGAGTGTGTAGGATCCATGGATGCCAGGTAAGTTCTGAGAGGAGTTTTGAGGGAAGTAGGTCACGAGCTTGACCCCCATGTAAGGGAGAGAAGGAGAAGATGACCAAGAAGGCATGAGGAGGAGAGAGGAAGGTGGTGAAACGGTGTAGTTTTGGCGCACAGGGCTTGTGATTGTTGAGGAATGTGTGGGAAGTTTGGTCTGAAAGTGATTGATCAAGGTTTCATGTGAGAGGATCGAAGGAAACGACTTGGCCGGTATGAAAACTGGGAGTGAAGCCATTGAATTATTTTGAGGGATCTGTTGATTTTATGATTTTATGATTTTGGAGGATACGATGGCTGTTTTTAAAGAGAGAAAATGGAATAAGACGAACCCAGATTGGTCTTTTGGCTTTGGTCGGGTCACAAATGTAGAAATCAAAGGGCATTTTTGGGAAGGACTTTAAAGATGAGATTCTTTTAAGGACTCTTCTGCAGCTAACCACCAGTCATCATCATCTTCCTCGAAATTTTCCTGTGTGCCAACAAAAAAAGCATATCCATTTAATAAACCCGAGAAATTAGACACATCTGAAGTCAAGTCAAGAACATGACATCAACATCCATTTTAAAGTTGTTTATAATTGTTCCTTGTGTGTAAAAAAGTAAACTAACCAAGGTAAGAGGTTCCAGTGTCTTGGGTTTGCTTTCAAGATCATCTGCGACTCTAGCTGCTTCAAGCCACCATGAGCCTCTACTAGAAACACTATCCGGATCGCACTCGCTATCAATGTAACCTTCTCTTTCTGGATAAAGCTTACCACATAGATTCTGTGTCTCTACTTGATGGTAAACTATATCTTCAGGTAAGCAACTATCTGGAACTGGACGTATCGGAGATCGATAATCTGCAGACAATATATAGAAGCTTACTGAATTCTTGAAAGCAAGGGCAAAGGAACAAGGTTCTGCTTTTAGATTTTTAAATCAAGACAAACCTCTGCAGTCTGGATCGTAGCATTTCTGATAGTAGATTCCCCTTCTGACATCAACAATGTACATCACTGTAACAACAAAGTTTGTTTTAATTGATGGTTAATTATGTTGCTTGATAGTTGAGAATACAGAGAATGCTCGAAACTCATAATAGCGTAAATGGATTGAAAACAGATGGTACCATGATTGCCTTTATGTTCCCTGCCAATTCGTTCACAGAATCTATTTCTTAACATGCTGTACACAATCAGGCTATCTTCTTGAAACCAGTACCAGCACCTTATCTTACCTAAATATCCCATCATGTATATAAAAATATTAGCGTTGCAAACTCTCCAGAACACACAAAGTGCTGACAAAGATGAACTGAAACCTGAGATATTCCCGGTGGATGCAATGGATTCTATGAATTGGTCCAGGAGCGGGAACGGGGACTTGCCCCCGAAGTAGGATGTTGACATGTCACTTGTGCAAGCATCCACTTGGAATTTATGAGCATTATGGTGTCTTACAATACTGTTATTGTTCACCTGTAATCTCCAAAAAGTTCAATGTGGAATCTTCCCTCAAGTATGTTGTGGAAGGAAGATGCAATTGGAAGCTAAAAAAGCACAAGTGCGACCCAAAACTGATGAACATTACCTCCGTGTCAAAGCAAAGTGTCTTCATACAGCCTGACTCCATCTTGCAAACCAGAAGCTTCTCACAATCTGATGCCACGTTGCAGATTAAGGATGTCATGAAAACATCTTCTTCACCCTGTTTGTTAACCAATGTTTTTGTTAGACACTGAAATAATTACTAAATCAAAACAAGAAGTCAACGCTGAGACATCAACATGGAAAAAGGAGAAACTTGACTGAAAGTGGACTTACCATATCCTTGCATTTGAACCGTCCTGTAGGTAGAAGAACCGACGTCTTTCCAGCTTTTGATGATAGTGCAAGACGGAAGCAACGGTTTCTAGAGTAAACAGCAGTATCCACAAAAAGCAAGGACGCCGAATCATTAGCCTCTTTGTGAACAAACAACTTGCGCAACCTTTCATCTTTTTCCTTCGCACTTGCTATCCTTGAGCATAGCTGAAGAAACATCAAGATGAAACTGAGACATGCCCAACATAACCTCCCAACTTGCGCAACTTAGGAAACCATCTTTTCAGGCAATAAAAATGAAAATATCGATTGAAGCTTTTACCTCTCTTACAAAAGCACCAACGTGTGAGTTGTCCTTAAAGGCCAACTTTGGAATGATGACAAGTAAATGACGAGAGAACTTATCTGCATATGAATTTTAAAAGGAATCCTTCAGTCAAGAGAACCAACCTTCTTTATACCGAAATATCTTAGGGATAACAATTTAACAATAAGATCAACTAGCAGCTGTGAGAACATGCATATTACTGTACCTTTAGTTGAGGAATCGAGCTCCACTATCCATTCTTCTTGTCCTTCAATACCATATTTCTCATGCAAGGCCTCTAAAATGGCTGATATCAAGATATCAACCATCTCATCCACATTTTTCCCTTCGTTTTCTTTCAGATTGAACTCCAAATCGAAGTACATATGGCATGGCAATCCCTGAGAAGCCGTTTGCAAATACTCTTGTGAGAGCTATGCAGAACACACTAAAATAGTTTACGGCAGCATCAGGGAATGAGATCTACACACCTCCTGAATCACTTCATAATGATGTCGATGCCTTGGATTCATAGATTTGTATCTACGGAAGAAAGAATAAAAATAAATAAAGCACTTGAGAGAGAAGTTAACACTAAGGGAATGTTAAAAGAAGGTAAAACAAAAAGGAACCTCTTCCAGAATTCTTCATAACTGGAAACAAGAAACCTTCTTTGCCCACTAAAATGTTCTTGATAACTAAAAACACGCACATTCTCATGCCTCTTCTCAAACTTAATCGCTTCGTCTTGCCGAGGAAACGTAGCCCAAACTCCTTTCCTAAGCAAAACGAAGACCATTCCATGATATACACCAGTTAAAAAACCTTCTAAAGCTAGAAGAAGATCTTCTTCCAAGTAGAATTAAAAAAAGCCATAGATATACCTGGAGATAGCTTTCCTTTCTTCACTGAGATCAATACGTATCTCACGCAAGAGTCTTAACAAAGTCAATGGTCTTTTCGGAGGAACGCCATTTGGAGAACCGTAGAACACAATCGGTGAAAACTGCCTCCCAATAGTCTTTTTCACATTCGTGGAACTAGACTGAGATATGACATTAAGAAGACAACTCAGAATCCACAACTTTTAGAAACACAACAAGAGAAAACAAAGGTTCATGATACATACAAGAGAGTCTCGACTGAGACTGAGACTTCCATCAATATGATTTCTTTGCCCCTTCCCAGACAAAGAACTTGGCTGCAAGTTCTTACAGGTCCCAGGAGAAGTGATGATATTCTCTGGATTGAGCATTGTTTTGCTCCGTTTCCTTTCTCTCATAGCAGAGGCTGAAAAATTCCCAGGAACCCACAGATAAATATCATCAATTTACCAATGGAAATTTCGAATACTCAACTTCTTATATTGATTACACAGTACATTCGTTGATATATAAGAGAAAGATCTCAAACTTGCAGCAACAGCAGCTCGTTTTAGAAGAGATGTGAGATTCAAGTGACAATTGCATTGACCAGGATTTGAATTCAACGTTTTTGAGCAAATCGGAGAAGATGATTCCAAGTATGGGAGAGAGAGAGTCAAAGAAGCTAACCAGGAGGAGAAATCCCACACTTAAAACACTGGAACAATCGATCGACGTCATCCATAGCGTTCGCGCCTACTTTCTTCGCCATTTTTGTTTGCTACTTGTCTTCTCTGGCCGCAGTTTCAGGACTCTAAGCAGGGTTTCATCTACGTTTCCCCCTTCGATGGGATTCGAAATTTTTGGGATCAAAATTGAAAATTTGTTTTTCCTTTCACAAAAAAAAAAAAAGCTGCGCAATTGGGGAAAACTTTTCGAATCAACGGCGCGGTGAAACTGAAACTGAAACGTAAGCGAAAGTCGTCGTCCTCTTATCCACGTGTCTATTATTAACTGGGAGCTATTTCCAGAGACGAAACACTACCTCCCGTCTTAGGATTACAGATAAACACACTGTGCCGTCTTCCCATATTTTAAGTATCTTGGTTGATTGTTATGTGATTAATTGATTGAATAATGTTAACATTAGTATTAATCCGATGTTCATCAACGCAGATGGGTAGGATTGGGCATTTAAACTAACTTTAGCTTCTTGGAGTGATAGAAAAGTGTGAGAGGTTCTCCTCTTTTGAGTTGACCCCATCTTCCAAGCATAAAGGCAAAATCTGGAGGAAGAGAAAGGAGAAGTGTCACTAGAACAAGCCTCAAAAAAGGGAAGAAGATTTGTTTGTATTCCATCAACAAAATGATTATGAAGTGAGGTGAGAAATCTCGGATATGATGAGAGAGGAAACCCATGAAACAAGAGATCGAGAAACAAAGAGTAGATCATATGTGTAGGCTCATGCTCATTTACTTCTTGGTCTTTTCATTTGTTTGTTAGTCTTTAAGAGAAGCAAGAAAATAACTCGAGACAAAACTTATGTTCTATCTGTAATGAGTTTGTCCAACAAGACTTAAATCTTTAATTAATAACAATTAACAAAACGATACCACAACCAACACACGAAAATGAATGATCAATCCTTTTAGTTAACAAAAGTAATGGAAAGCCAATATTTTATAAACACCACACACACAAAAAAACAAGGACACAAACTTTAATTATTTGGCAACAAAAAAAAAAGGAAGAAAGAAGAAAACGAGGACATAGAGATTTTATTCTGGAAGAAGATATGAAATCTAAATAGAGAGTCACTTATTTCTTTTGTTGAATTGAGAAGGATTCCCCATACTACTTGATTGTGAGGATTGAGAATAATTTCCCATACTACTTGATTGTATCGGTGATGAATAAGGATTCCTCATACTGCTTGATTGTGCGAATTGAGAATGATTCCTCATACTGCTTGATTGTGAGGATTGAGAATGATTCCCCATACTACTTGATTGTATCATGGATGAATAAGGATTCCTCATACTGCTTGAGCTCGGAACAAATGTTGAGTAGCTCATGGAACCTTGCGTTAGCGCTTGTGATGATGTTCCACTTCCTGCATCAGATGGTTTAAACGCAAAAAATCTTAAGGTTGGCAAAAGCAATATAACATAATGAGGCAAACTTTAATTATAAAAGATGAGATGAAAAGCATTCTAGTCAACAACACACACAAAGTTGTCCATGGAGCTCAAAACCGATCACCAAACTCATTTCCATCCCTTTTAAAGAAACCTAATAAACAAGAAAAAAGTTATGTACTGACCTGTGTTCCATGTTGAAGTACGTTGATTATCCGCTATTGCTTTCTCCCTACGTCGCCTTTCCGCGTTTTCTTTCTCTCGCCTCTCTGCGTTTGCTTTCTCAACACGTCGCCTTTCCGCCTTCTCTTCCTCCACACGTTGCTTCTCCGCTTTTTCTCTTTCAACACGTCGCCTCTCCGCTTTTTCTCTCTCAACACGTTGCCTCTCCGCCTTTTCTTTCTCAATACGTCGTTTCTCGGCGTTTTCTCTCTCAATACGTTGCCTCTCCACCTTTTCTTTCTCAATACGTCGTTTCTCGGCGTTTTCTCTCTCAATACGTAGATTTTCTGCGTTTTCTCTCGCAATACGTACCGCTTTTGCTTCCTCAACAGGGAGGTCCCAACGTTGCGCTATTTGATCATTCCAACCAAAGTTCTGTGCACCGAAGGCTCCTTGTATCGGCCCATTTGCTTTTGCTTTGGAAGCAGCTACACGCTCAGGCCCACGCGCACCTCCGCCTATGAAGGTGCCTATGTTTTTGAGCAGTTTCTCATATGTTGGGACTCCTGAGCTACTGGCAACATCTGCCTTGGGAGCAGCATTTGGTTGCGTAGCTTTGAACGACTTATAGGGTGCTCGCTTCGGTTCCTCTACCTCTGCTTCTCCAACCTTGGCTATGGTAACAGATTCATCTATCTTCTTTAGTTTCCTTATTACTTCAATATTGTTAAATTCGCCAATCACTTCTAGTTGATTTCCTTCCTTGACCTCTACGGAAGTAACTCCTAACAACATATCGACTTACTTCTTTTAGACTACATATGCATATATAGATTCAATTTCTTATATCTGCATGTAAGCTCAATATCCTGCCATAATCGATTTATTTGGCTCTAAATTATATAAACCATAGATTTGTGTTTGGTGTGTACCTGGAAACTCCCAGATAACTGTGTAAGATTCTCGTAAGATATTTTCACCAAGAACTTCAAACTTGAATACATCTATCTGCAACTTAGCCGCTCATGGTATTAAGTAATAATTTTTTAATACAAGTAGATAATATTAAACCCCTCATTGAAATTTTCATTGCTTAAAACTAATCTGAATATTGCAAAAACGAACCTGCGTTTTGGGATTATCATTACGTTTGGGTGATGAGGAGACACCAGAATGGTGACTTTGCTCAGCTTTTTGCTTTGGCTTGATTATAGCAGCAAATTTATCGATCTTCTGTAGTTTAATCCCCATATCTTCTTTATCAAAGTTTCCCCTTATCTTTAGTAGGCCTTGTTCCTTGATGTCTATCAAAGTAATTCCTAACAACAAGAAATATTATTGCTTCATTCTTTTCGCCTAGATAGATTAAAATTCCTTTTTTCTGTATATAATTAAACTGAATATCATGCCCTAATCGATTTATTTGGTTTGGATTCTAATTTTTACTCCAAAATGGAGTTGAGTTTCTTTTCATTTTTCAATGTATTATATACAAATTATTTGTGTTGTGGTGTACCTGAAAATTTGCAGACAACTTTCATAGCTTTCCGTTTGATTTCTTTATTAGAAACATCCATCTTGAAGACAACTGGCTCCTCCGCCTGCAAATTATCAGTTCACAGTTGTATATAAGCAATAACTTTATTACACACATATATCTATTTCCGTTGATGAATTATATCCGTAGATGATAATAAACCATACAACTTTTAATTGCTCAGAATTATTTTAAAAATTGAAAAAACGAACCTGCATTTTCGGAAAATTTAAAGAGATCAGAGAGTGAAGAGAGATTAAGTCAAGGAATACGATTGCAACCTCGCAGCTTGCTCCTTAACACTTTGTTTCACGGGGTATATTTATATATATACACGATATGTTGTCTTAGCTATTGGAGCTAGAGAAAGAATTAGTCAATTTCGTACACCAAGACCCATATAAACAATTTGAGTCTTTTTATATGATATAAATAGTTAAAATCAAAAACAAGTTGTCTTTCTTAATAATAGATGGGTAGAATAAAAACCATATTAGTCTTTCTATATAATAGATGGTTAGAAGGTGGCTGGGTCTCTTACTTAAGTAGATTCAACTAATACGCCGTGTTATAGTAAAATTTGCGATATTTGTTTACTTGTAGCTGTTTGGCTATTATATACAGTCCCGTGCCTAGGAATTTAGAGATCTGAGACCCCCAAGTTTTTTTTTTTGAAAATTTAATTCCAAAATTTATTTTAAAAGTATGGTTTCACTTATAACTCTCTTGATTATAAATAAATTTATTTGTATTCTAAAAAAAATTATAACCTTTACAATCTACTGTAAAAAAATATAAACATCACAGTTTAAAATTTATACACCAGTCGGAGCGGTCATTGCTAATGTGATCAGAAAGCTTTATAGATTGGTGATTATTGTTAAATTATATGGAGTTCCAACCTAAAATCAATTGTCAATGAGTGGATTGGTTCATGTTTCTTATATATTAGTTATGATCTCTTTCAACTTACGATGTAGAATATTATTCTTAATATATCCCTTTGAGACGATTGACTATTTTGACAATTGATCTCGGTAATGTTTAGGCAAGGATCGATGGACTATCTTCTGATTACATATCGATTATGGATTAGATTGGATTGTTTGGATCGGACTCTGATAGGATGCAGAATTGGAGAAGATGTCTTTCTTATTACAATGGTAACGAGTATATATACATCATTGCTATTTGCTAATGTGATCCGAAAGCTTCTAACATCAATTGAGAGTAATTAAGGTAAAATTATAGCTTGCTAACCAGAGACATGAACATCAACAAAAGGTCTTTATTGGTAGTTTAGTATAGACTGGCGGTTCAGTGTAAGCAGTCGATCCAGATTTTTGATATAAGTTTTTTGTTTTACGGAAATTAGTACGAAGCATCGACATGATCAATTCTTAAAGTTAACAAAAGTACTAGAACGCCAACATGTATTTAAACACCACAAAATACAAGGACACACATACTTTATTTTGGAAAAAGGATATATGAAATCTAATAGAGGAGTCACTTTTTTTATTTTGTGGAAAATTTCAGAGGTTAGATTTGCCTTTCCTCTTGTTCTTTGCAAATGATGATGATAGTGGTGGTTGCGTGAAACCACTCGTTGTGGTTGATTTCGTGAATCCACTCGTTGTGGTTAATTGTGAGGATTGAGAATGATTTCCCATACTACTTGATTGCGTGGATGAATATGGATTACCCTCAATACTGCTTGAGCTCGGAACAAATGATGAGTAGCTTTTGGAACCTTGCGTTATCGCATGTGTTTTTCCACTTCCTGCATCAGATGGTGTAACACAAATATTAAGGTTAGCAAAAGCAACACAACAGATAATGAGACAAACTTAATATTATAGAAGATGAGATGAAATTATATGTTAGTCCACAATGTTAAATTACATGGACTTTCAATATAAAACCAATCAGTTATATATAGATTGGCTTAAATATGTTATTTAAAATGTGTTCCAACTTTTGATGTGTGATGTTATTCCCTAATACACAACACACAGTTGTCCATATAGAGCTCAAACCAATCACCAACTCATTTTCATCCATTTCAAAGAAATCTAATGAGAAACAAGTTATGTACTGAACCTGGGATCCATGCTGCGAGAACTTTCTTATCATCTTTGTTCACAACACGTATATTATCCGATTCTTGGATCCAATAAGGGCCGCCTCGACGGGCTATCTGATTATTCCAGCCATCGTTCTGTGCAACGAAGGCTCCTGGCTGATTTACTTTGGGAGCAGCTAAACGCTCAGGCGCACGCGCTATTTGATTATTCCTGCCATGGTTCCGTTCAACGAAGGCTCCTGGTTGATTTACTGGCGTATACGCATTTGCTTTGGGAGCAGCTGCACGTAGAGGCGCACGTGCACCTGTGCCTATGAACGTGCTTGTGTTCTTGATCAGTCTCTCATCATGTGTCGGGACTCTTGATGAGCTACCGGCAAATGATGACATACCTTTGAACATCTTATGTGGTGGCTTCTGCTCCTCTACCTCTGGTCCAATCTCGGTTAAGCTAACATACTTATCTACCTTCCTTAGTTTACTCGACATTTCAACATTATTAAATTCGCCCATCACCTCTAGTTGATCTTTTTCCTTGACCTCCACGGAGGTAACTCCTGACAACAACAACATTATATTGCTTTATTTTCTCTTACCCTAAATAGATTAAAGTTTCGCATTTCTGTAGATAAGCTGAATTTCCTATACGCTATAGCCATAGATTTGTGTTGGTGTGTACCTGGAAACTTCCAAATAGCTTTGTTAGCTTTCTGTAAGATCCTTTCATCAAGAACTTCAAACTTGAATACACCCATATTCTGCAAACTTAGCATAAAAAGTTCATGGTATATATAAAGAATAGTTTTATTACAGTAGATAATACTATTAAACCACTGAATTTTTCATTGCTCAAAAGTAATCTGAATATTGCAAAATCGAACCTTCGGTTTAGGAATGTCAGAACGATTTGGTAATTGCGTTGGGTCGAGTATCGCAACAGTTTTATCGATCTTCTGTAGTTTAATCCCCATACTTTCCTTATTAAAATTTCCCCTCGTCTTTAGTATGCCTTTTTGGTTGACGTCTGCGAAAGTAACTGCTAAGAACAACAAATGAAACAAAATTTTTTTTTTAAAAAATGTTCTCGCTTCGTTGCTGTTATTGATTTGATTTATTTGGTTTGAAGCATATCCAATGTCTTATTCTAAAATAGAACTTTAAAATTGAGCTAAATTTCTTTCCAGTCTATTAGTATTGTGAGTAAATCCAAAGTAAAAAAAAAGATCCAGGCTTAAAAAGCTTAGAAAGCTCATATCCAAATGAAAGAAAAAAAGGTAAAACGAAAGAAACTTTAGATTGTCACACAAAAAAAGATTTTAGATTAATTTAATAAAGGGTGCAGAAGGAGAATTGCTTTGTGGCAACATTATTTCTCTTGAAGTGTCACTACACACATATTTATATATATATGAATCTATCTATATCTTGCTGAAAACCCTAGTTACATGGATTTTGTTTTGAGCTTCTCATGTGACAAATATATATATATATATATATATATATGCTTGTGTTATGTTATCTATTAAGTACAACTAAAAGACTTAATCTAAGAAAATATTACAACTGTATAAAAATGTTTTTTAGCTAGACCAAAAAAAAAAGAAGTGATTGTGTTGGTGTACCTGAAAACATCCAGACAACTTCCATAACTCTCCGTCTGACTCCTTTATCAGAAACATCCAACTTGAATACAACTGTCTCCTCCGCCTGCAAATTATATCAGTTAATAAGCTATAACTTGATTAAACATATATCTATTTCCGTTGATGAATTCTAACCGAAGATAATATCAACCCATAAAGTTTTAGTTGCTCTCAAAAACTATTCTGAAAAAAAAAAAAAAAACGAACCTGCATTTTCGAAAAATTGAAAAGATTTGAAAATGAAGAGATATATAACGTCAAGGAATATGATTGCAACCTGCAGCTTGCTCTTTAACACTCTTGCTTCTCCCGAATACACACACACATATATATACACGATATATTGTCTTAGTTATTGGAGCTAGAGAAAGAAATAGTCAATTTCGTACACTAAGACCCATTATAAACAATATTGAGTCTTTCTATATGATATAAATGGTTAAAATCAAAACAAGTTGTCTTTCTATATAATAGATGGGTTGAATAAGAACAACCATACGAGTCTTAAGTCTTTCTATATACTGTAATAGATAAAAGGTAACTCTGTCTCTAGAAAAGAGTCATGTGAAACGTAAGCATATGATCCACGTGTCAATTACCTATTGGAAGATGCTTTAGACGCAAACACTACCTCCCGTTTTAATAATTTTACATAAACACTTTGTGCCGTTGTTATGAGAGACGAACGACACGATGTCCTTAACGAACTTTTTCGTCTTCAGGTGAAGATAAACGGAGACGTTGCAAGCTCAGTCGCCGGGATTTAAAAACAAAAACGTAGAGGAAGTAGCTTCGAAATATTTCTGGAACATTTTCGTTTATCTCCATGGTTGTAGATAGTGTGTGTGATCGACAGATGCTTTTAAATTTTACATATGTGTATCTAATTTGGTGTTCTTCGATCTGGGGTTGTCTCGGAAACTATCGTCTCTTTCGAGTCCAAGGTAGTGGCATATCTCATCACAAGGCACAAATTAGATTTAATCTGATGCAAAATTTTGGGAGTATCTGTTTATCGTTCACTCTATCTACAGTCATCGATCATTCTTCTTTGGTTTATACTCAAAATTTTCGATTTTCTAGGTTCAGTCTTCTGTCAAATTAGATTGTGATGCAGATTTTGAAGTATCTGTCTATCGTTCACATAAGATGATTCGTCCTTGCTTATACTCAAAAATATAATTTTCAATTCGTAGGTTCTGTCAAAATTTCTTGATGAGTCTTTTGTTTCAGGATTTTTCGTATGAGATTCAAATTTTTAGGGTAAATAGGTATGTAATTCATAAAAAAAGTTACAGATGAAATAAATTATTTGCTAGTGGGGGTGATTCAATTCATTATAGAGGATTTGTTAGCAGAAATCTAAAGAAGATAACGATGTTCTTCCTACATTAGTCTTTGATTGATTGTTATGTGCTTAAGCTATTTTTAATAATGTAGCATTTGTGTCTTCCACTTGTTGGTGGAGTTGGACAATTTTGTTTTATCTTAGTTTTGATCTTATGAACTAAACTTAAAGCTTCTTTAAGCTCCTTTTTTGGGGGTCATTTTCTTATATCTGACCCTTACAGATATTATTAATGTTGCAGTCACTTGAATTGTTTCTTTAGTGAGAATCACTCACTGTCTTGTTGGTATCATAAATGTTCTGCAACAATAACCACCTGCTCCTTTGGAACTTACTCTGTTGTACTAAATGTTTCTGAAGATCTTAGAATTACTTTAATATACGTCAATGAGTTTTTGGTGGAAAGGCTCAGAAGAGCATTTGGCGTTATTTGTTGTCGACCATATAGTGAATAGTTTCAGTCGCTATCAATTGACAATGCGAGCTGTTGCATGTTGTTCTCCTCACACCTTTTGTTTTAATATTGGATTTGAAATATCGACTAAGTGACTATGACATGCCTCTTCTGGTCTCAAACTCTACCAAATTGTGTACTTGCTGTCTTCTCCAACATCACTGCACAAGACTTTCTGATATTTCTGTCTGATATCAGGTCACTGGAGCGAGAATGATAAGTTGACATCAAAAGTTGCGGTTTTTGTGGGACTATAACCAAAACTTGATTGTGAGTGCTAAAGTTTTTTGCAAAAGGGATTGTTTTTAACATTATGTAATGGCTGATCGCAGAATGAGATCACATCTTTAGTATAAAATTTTTTGGATTGTGGTTCTTGGATTATGTTCACCTGGTGTAGCAGTTGGTATTACTATGTCATCCTCGGCTACTATTTAAGTTCCTATGATTCCCAAACTCATTTCTCTCTCAGTCTCAACATTCATAGTCTCTACTTTTATAAAAAAATACTTTTAAAGACATGGCAGCAAATGATGTCCCTTGCTGTGAGCCTATGTTCTGGTTTTACCTAATCGCATGTTTTGCTCTGGTGGCTTTCGCAGGTTTAATGTCAGGGCTGACTCTTGGGCTCATGTCTCTTAGTCTCGTCGAGCTCGAGGTCATAATCAAGGCTGGTGAACCCAAGGACCGCAAAAACGCTGGTCAGTGTCACAAACCTATTTACCTACTTCATACTCATTACTTCATATTCAAACTAACACCATTTTCCAATAAAATTTGCTGAAAATTGCCAGAAAAGATCCTTCCACTCGTTAAAAACCAGCATCTTCTCCTTTGTACACTCCTCATAGGCAATGCTTTGGCAATGGAGGTATCTGGCTTATGCATATACATTCTTTAGCTTTAGCTTTTTTCGAACTTATGATTTAGTATTTACTGACTGTGTTTCGAATGCTAAAATCCAAAAGGCTTTACCAGTCTTTGTCGATTCTCTGCTTCCGGCTTGGGGCTCTGTTCTGATATCGGTGACTCTCATACTTGCCTTTGGCGAGGTGAACAGAATTTGAATTAGCTTTCTGTCCTGATCTGATTTTTCTAAGGTTGCTCACAATCTTACTGTTATTTATCCATTGTTGTAGATTATACCTCAAGCTGTATGCTCTCGATATGGTCTGAGCATCGGAGCAAAGCTATCGATTTTGGTTAGATTCATTGTCGTAGTCTTCTTTCCGCTAGCTTATCCAATCAGCAAGGTAAACCAGTCAGTTTTATAACAAAGCAGAGATCATTTCAAGTTGAAACAATACATCAAGAGTTACTCTGCTTTCAATGCTTTCAGCTACTAGATTTGTTGCTTGGAAGAAAACATTCTACACTTTTAAGGCGAGCAGAGCTCAAGTCATTTGTGTTTATGCATGGAAACGAGGTTTGTTTCAAATACTTAAAACAACATGTAAAAGCTAAATCCATGTCTCTTCTTCTTCTTAATCTGTGTCCTGATGATTAGGCGGGAAAAGGCGGAGAACTAACTCACGATGAAACAACAATCATATCAGGAGCTTTAGACATGTCTCACAAGAGTGCCAAAGACGCAATGACACCAGTCTCAGAGATATTCTCACTCGATATAAGTTCCAAACTCGACGAGTATGTTCTTTTCTTGGATTTTCTCTTTGTTCTGCTTCTCGACAATTGTATATAGTCAGTTAGTTCGTTATTCTTACCGTCCTCTTTGGGATTCACAGAAAGACAATGGGATTAATAGCAAGTGAAGGCCATAGCCGAATCCCTATTTACTCTCTGAATCCAACTTCTATCATCGGATATATTCTGGTGAGTAGTAAACAGCAAATCTAATAACACAGTAAATCTTGAGAAACACTTTGCCTTCTAACATGAGTTTTGAAAATAGGTCAAGAACTTGATCAAAGTCCGTCCTGAAGACGAGACACCAATCATAGATCTCCCCATCAGAAGAATGCCAAGGTAGTCTCTCTGAAAAAAAAACTAACTAAGCTGCTCTCGAAGCTGTGTGGACTGATCAAAGCTTATTGTTTCTGCAAGCAGGGTCAATTTGACTTTACCTCTCTACGACATCCTCAACATCTTCCAAACAGGTCGAAGCCACATGGCAGCTGTCGTTAGGACCAAGAACTGTACCGATACCAACACTCTTTCCCATGTCAAGAGCATCAATGGTTGAGACTTAAGAGACTTGTATATTAATGAGAGAGCATATAATCCGATATCATATAAAGTATTTAGATGAGAAGTCTTTTTTGTTATATTTCAGGAACTGATAAAGAGGCCAACGTTGTTCTGAACATTCCTGTGATGAACTCATGTGAAGTTAATCATCAAAGTCCAATCCGATACATTGATAGTAGTACTGCTGATGACGATGAAGAAGTCATCGGTATAATAACTCTGGAAGATGTCATGGAGGAACTAATACAGGTGATCTTTATAAAATGGTTAGATTACTGAATCATAATATCTGTCAATGAGTTTTGAATCAACCATTTTATGAATCTTATAGGAAGAAATTTATGATGAGACAGACCGGTATGTCGACATTCATAAAAGGTATGAATGATCACCATTTAGCAATCATAATGGAGAGAAACTGCAGTTTACAGTATTTTACACCAGACTCTTGAATCTTCTTTTTTTTTCCCCTTCTCTAGGATAACAATAAACGTGCCGGTACCTGGAAATTCGAAGCCACAATCGCCGGAAACTGCCACGGGTGCTTCGGAGCTAGCATCTCCTATCTCGCCGTATCGCTCATGTCCACTGTCGCCGAACATCATGATCTCTACTCTGCTTCGGTCACCGTTAAATTCACCTTACCGTCAGTCTCCGTTTCTCAGGCCGACACTTTACTCTTCTCCACCTTCACAACCTCCTTCGGCGCTATCTCCGGACAGCAATGACCGTTATTACTATATGTCTCCTAGTGGGGTACGTAACGTGTGACTCAAGAAATATTTTTTAGCAATGTCTTTCTTGCGCTTGAAGTTAACTTTTAACCTTTGCTCTTTGTTCGTGTTGTTGCCTTGCAGGTGTTGAGGAAATCGTACGTGAAGCTACCAAGATCAAATGGTTCGTAAAACTAGGTGAACCAAAAATAATGATAACAAGAGTCAAAAGACTTTCATTTTTCAAGATTCAGTTGACTCATATTATATGCAAGTGAACTGAATAAACAAAGATGAATTTAAAAAAAAAAATTCGGAACTTTCATTCCATGTTCTTAAAATTCAGAAGTTGAGGAAAATATTAGTACAACGAATTCACTTTTTGCTTTTGCATATTATTTTCTTGGAACGAAAGGATATATAGTGGGAAATGTGTGGCCACTGGCGAGGAAAATAAATATCACGAAGATAAAAACAAAATACCCTATTGCTTGTAGATAAGATAGGTAATGAAATATACATATGAAAACTTTAAAGAAAAAAACATTAGAATTAGAAGAAAGAAGATGAAAGCTCTCTTGTGCTCACACCACTTACTCCCATTATCATCATCTTGCTCAAGAACATTTCTCAAAACCAAACTCCAAAACCCAAAAACTCGAATCCCTAACAACACACGTAGACATGAATCAAGGCTCCAAGCGAGTCCTAAGGGGTTTCAATCTTCTAAAAGCACTGAAAAACCCGGCCGACCAGACCCGGACCCGGAAGATGACCCGCCGATACCTCAAGAAGTGTTCGAGAGGATGATGGGGAGGATCGTGGTATCTGTTGGGACACCACTGGGACTAGGAGTGGCAATCTTGAAATTACTCGAGTTTTTGAAGGATAAAAACGTCTGGGATGTGCCATTGTGGGTCCCGTTCTTGACCACGCTCGTGACCTTTGGTGCGTCGGCTCTTGGGATCGCGTACGGTAGCTTATCCACAAACCTGGACCCGACCAAGACTAACTCTGTTTTCGGACTTGAAGAGGCAAAGGAGAACTGGGTTGAGATGTGGAAAGAAGAGTAGTAGTTTACGTGGATGATTTTTTTGGCTCTTTGGACTTGTGGGTACGTACATTAATCTATAGTCCTCTGTTTTGGTATTTAGTTTCGGTTTGATTTTTTTATTTGGTTGCAAGCAAGAAACAAGTACTGTTTTGAGGAAGTTTAAATTATAATCAAATTTTGAATCTTAGGTGCTGTTTGGCTGCTGTATCCAGATGCAGATACAAGATGTTGTTCGTTTTGCAACTGTTAATCACATGAACTAGATGCAGTAGTTGGATACAAATATCAAACTCATAAAAAAAAAATCAGATATTTCAGATGCAAACGAAAGTAGAGTTTGGATACAGCTATCTCATCTAAAAATTGTAAATATCTAAAATAACCCTATATAATTTAAACAATTACATATCAATATATCCTAAATAATAAATTTCATAAAAACCCTAAATTCTTAAAATTTTCAAATTTTATTTTTCCATCAAAACTGCAAATCATTTTTTCGCCAAAATTCATAAATAACATTATTGCCAAAATCATAAAGTTTCATTTTTTCGTCAAAACCGTAAAATTACGTTTTCCCGCCAAAACTGTAAAATCATGGAAAAACCGTAAAATTACGTTTTTCTGCCAAAACAGTAAAGTCACGCTAAAACCGTAAAATTATATTTTTCCACCAAACGAGTAAAATTTTATTTTCCCGCCAAAACTTTAAAATTTTATTTTTCCGCCAAAACCGTAAAATCACGAGAAAACCGTAAAATTTTATTTTCCTGCCAAAACCGTAAAATCACAAAAAATCCGTAAAATTTTGTTTTCCCGCCAAAACCGTAAAATCACGAGAAACCCGTAAAATTCTGTTTTCTCAAAACCGTAAAATTACGTTTTTCCACCAAAACCATAAAATTCTGTATTCCCACCAAAACCATAAAATTTCATTTCTCGCCAAAACTGTAAAATTTTATTTTTCCGTCAAAACCATAAAATCACGAGAAACTGTAAAATTCCGTTTTCGCGACAAAATCGTAAAAAAACCCGTAAAATTTCATTTTTCCGCAAAAACTGTAAATTTATATTTTCCCGCCAAAACCGTAAAATTATGTGAAACCTGTAAAATTTTATTTTTTCACCAAAACCGTAAATTTTATTTTCCCTCCAAAACCGTAAAATTTTGTTTCTCCACCAAAATCGTAAAATTACGGGAAAACTGTAAAACTGCGTTTTTCATCAAAACTATAAATTCTGTTTTCTGTCAATACCGTAAATTTTTAAAGATTATTTGTTTTTTAAAAAAATATTAAAAAAAAATTTCCCATAAAAATACGTTTTTTCAATCATCTTATTATTAAGTGCATCCAGATGTAAATACAGATATACAAACAAACATTAATGTATCCAATTATAATATTTAGATAGATTAATCAAAAACACAAACCAACAACATCTGATGCTGCGTCGAAATATGGTATCTGAATGTTATATCCAGACATTGTGTCCATATAAGGAAACGAACAGGGCCTTAGAATCTTCCTCCACGATTCTGACATTCATATCCAAAAGGTGGTGATAATTTGAATGAGGATAGTAAATGATATTGGTAGGCGCATTGCATAACTAGAAGGGTCCAGAGTGGAAATGTTCAATCCAGATTTTCGGTTTTGGTTGGATTTATTTGAATTTGATAATAAAAAAATAATTAGCAAACTTTTTTGATTTATTTAGTATGTTTTTTTGTTTTGGATCGAACCAGATTTTAACCATTTCTAACAAGTGTGATTTTTAACCTTAAGAGGGGTACAACATTACTATAATTAATGGGTATGATTTTTTTTTTTTTACTTGTTAGATTCTAGTGGGTAAAATCATACCAATTTCATGCACCACAGTTACTCCCCATATTGACATGTTTAATATTTTATGAAACTGAAAATGATATTTTTCCAAAATAACTATGTAATATTTTACGCTAGTTATACACAATTCCTCGAGAAGACTTGAATAAGAGAAAATTTATGGAGCATAAGAGAAAGATACACTTATAATATTAGATGCTTTAATCAACCACTACTAGTAAAATAGGTCTGGAAAATTGTTTCAAACCAAGATTTTCTCTTGGTTTGTATTTTATTAATATACCTGCTTTTCATTAAACATGTTCTCATTTGATGAAAATAGAAACAACTTCTTTTTTAAAAGAAAAAATTTATCGGTTCTCCATATGGTTCAGAAGATCAGAGTGTTGGAAGTCTCTCAGCCTCAAATCCTAGACCAGAAAAATGGAGGCTTAACTTCGTGGAAGCTTCTCTAAAGGAGTGGTTGAAGTGCAGCATAGGTAAGGTACGTCAAGGGGTGGGCAAAATATCCGTTATATCCGCATCGAACCGATATTTGCTTCGATTCGATTCGAAAAATCCGAATATCCGTAAAGCTTCGGAGCAAAGCAAATAGCAAAATGTAGTATCCGTACAAAACGGAGCAAATAACAAATATGTTTTTAGACAACATCGGATATCCGATCCGATCCGTATCTTTATAAATTTATTATATATAAGTATATCTTATCATGTATATATCAATTATATTATAAATTTTTATTAATATACTTTTGATTTTCTTCCTAAATTTTCAATTGTTTCTAAATTATTTAGATTATATAAAATAAATGACTAAATAACCATTCATAAAAAATAAATAATATGTTTAAACTTAAAATATATTAATAAATAATAATTTATTTGATATTAGTTAATAAATATCAACAAAGGTTTTTAGTAAAGTTTAATATTTAAAGTTTCAAATAGTTAATATTATTTTTAAATATAAAATATTATTTTTTCCTCATCTTAATTTTATAGGTTTAATTTTTATAGATTTTTTATAAAATAAAATGTTTTCTTTTAATTATTTTCACTTAACAGTTTAGATAAAAAATATTTTTTATAATAAAAATTGATGTACTTTCAGTTTTGTGTATATTAAACGGATCAAACTAAATATTCATAAATATCCGTAAATATCCGTAAATATCCGCAAATACTTGTAAAATTTTCGGATATCTGAAAATTCGGATATCCGAATATTTTCGGAGCAAATCAAATCACTAAATTAAATATCCGTTAAAAACGGAGCAAACCACAAATACTTAAAAATTTCCGGATATCCCATCCGCGCCCACCCCTACATCAAACTCATGGTCTAAGAGAAAAATATTGTTACCTGTTTCTTGGGTTAAGAACTTAGTTCTTGGGGCAATGAAAAGCATGATGAACACTAAATTGAATCAGATAAGTTTTTCCTTTCAAGCTTCGAACCTTTTAGATGTAGTTCTTAGACCAAAAGTGTGATCGTCTTTTGGTATCAAACATTCAAGCGTATAATCTTTTACATATTTTGAGCTTGATGAAGGATTTAAAATTGAAAGATCAGTAGAATCGAATAGAGAGGCTGCTTTTAAAGTGTTTATGGTCCAAAACTGCCATTACTCATTCATTAGTTATATCATTTGTGGTCACACTCACATATCATTTTTTTTGGCTTCATGGTTTCTTTTACAACGAGAGAGCGTCCCATCGTCATTGTAATTCCTGTCTTATTTTAGTTTAAAGTGCTGTGTAGGAACATGATTACTATGTGTAGACCGGTAATTTATGAAAAAAATACATAAAATAAATCAATAAAAATAATTTAAAATAATACCGATTAAACAAAAATTTAGGAAAACAAATTGTAGAGTCGAGACATAAAGATCTCTTAGTATGACAGTTACATGACATTCGGAATCCTATGATACAACTGCATTATTCTTATGATTCATATCATGCTAAAATCATAAGCTCTCAAATATTTTTTCTGTGTTATATTCTCATTGTGAAAAAAACCCAAAGAAAAGAAAAAATAGAAGAAGTGTCTATTGATTATTGTTTCATGTTCTTTGTATAAACTCATCATTGTCTATAATGCTCATTAATCAAAATTAATATTAAGTCATTATGAATATTTGTAAAGTTACAAAATTGATAAAAATTAATTAATTAATTATAGAAAATACTTGACTTAACCAAGTTTTTTATTCTCATTTCACTAGGAGAATAATATTTTTAGCCAAATTAAAATTTATATAGTAATCAAGTATACAAATAATAATTTGATACAAAAGAAAGATTATTGGACCAAGATCTATATATCCCGAATCCACGATTAAACCCAAATCTGAGTCCGAGCCACTTTCGACTCATCTCGCTGCACGCATGTGGTTTAGCATAGATTCACTCTTCTCTACAATTGTCTTAATGTCTTTAACTTTGTTAGGACTTTTCTATGATATCTACTAGTCCATTTTGTGTCTTTTGAATGACAAACATTAAACAAATATTTTTCATTCAAACAAATTCCAATTTTAACATATAAATACACTCATAATTCGGTATTCCCTCAGAAATATGTTGGAAATTGTCCGGAAATGAACCGACGCAACATGCCTTCGAATTGAATTCCAACAAATTATTCATTTCATAGTATATACACAACATCTACGTGAATTTGAGATATTGTTCATTTGTCCAATTAAGAAATATATATTTATGCGCCAAATCATGATTTTTTTTGTTAAAATTCGCCAAATTTCAGTTATGCGCTAAAACTGCAAATTACGTTTTTTGCCAAAACGTACAAAATATGTTTTTTTTGCCAAAACTACAAAATTTCATTCTCCCGGCAAAACCGCAAAATCACGTTTTCAGCCAAAACCGCAAAATTACATTTTTCACCTAAACCGCAAAATCATTTTTTCCACAAAAAACTGCAAAATTACCTTTTCCAAAAATCACAATATTATGTTTTCCGTCAAAACTGGAAAACAAAAATTTCGTGCCAATACCGTAAAATCATGTTTTCCGTCAAAATTATAAAATTGCGTTTTCCTGTCAAAACCGTAAAATTTCGTTTTCTTGCTGAAATTGCAAAATTCTATTTTTTCGCCAAAACTGCTAAATAACATTTTGCCAAAACCCATAAATTTATGTT